AGCATTCCTTCAGACCATCTGTAAGGGTTTCTAAGTCCACCAGTCTGGATCCTTGTGGCAGGTTCGCCTTCCTCTTAGCTTTATTCTGCTGATGGGAATCAGGGTTGGAGTGAACAGAACAGGTAGGCCGATAATTAGGACAAGCTTGGCAGGAAAATCTTACCAAAAATTAAGACTTCCGAATAAAGAAAAATGTACTGATCTCACCTGCTCGGGTCATTCGTTTTGCTGGGGTTCGCTTTCGTTGGATATGTTATCATACTGGAGCTTCCTTTTGGCATTCCACGTTTTGAACCCTTCATGTAACCTTTTTAATTTTGTTTCTTTTCTGGTTTCGATCGCTTCCACTTTCCGAAAGCGACCTGACGCATTACGGATTTTGTGTAGGCGTTGTGTAAACTTCTGGTCTTTCACTGTCAATATTGTGCTCATTACTGGAAAGTATCGATGCCGTTTCACACTCGTCAAGTAAACTTCGCGATTATGTGATAAAAATTGTGCACTCGCGTGAAGCCGCCATGTTTGTTCACATATTTGATGCCATTTTAAAGCTCGCGCCATTTTCGTACCCATTCTTCGCCCGGCAATAAAACCCTATTGAGCCACCTTAAGACATGTTTCATGGAACTGCGCTTCCTTGGAGGATGATGTGGATTGTTGTGCTGATAAAGTCAAGGATCTCTTGCTCGCTGCTGCAGATATGTGCATTCCACTATTTAAAATGAAAAGAAAAACAAACCCTCCATGGATCAAAAAAGAAACTTTGCGCCTGATCAAAAAGAGGAAAAAGCTATGGCATCAACTGAATGCTCAACCATCTGAATCTTTAGCCAAAGGTTCAAGGCTCTTCGAAGGGAAATTAAAAAGTTAATAAGGTCAGAGTATCACAAATGTCACCAGCACTTTTCTGTTGTCCTAAAAAAAAACCCAAAAAGATTTTGGTCCTATCATTCCATAAAGTCCAAGTCTAAAAGACTCCCAGACATTAGCACTTATAATGGTATTACAGCAACTAAGCCACAAGAACAGGTTAATTTGTATAATATTGACTTTTATTCTGTGTTCTACAAAGAAAGTTCTGGTGCACCTTCTATTTTGTTGCATGACATTCAGAATGACCAATGTAATAATAATAACAATCTTTTATTAGGAAGCTCCATCACAATAGTGGTTTACATAGATGTGCTGATCAATATACAGACTCTGTTTCATGTACAACAAATGAAGTTCAAAAGATATTACAAAAACTTGATGGCAGCAAGTCCTCTGGGGTAGACAAAATTCCAGCCCGCCTGTTGAAGGAGACGGCGTATATGTCTGCAGTACCATTATGTATGCTCTATAATCTGTCTTTTGAGATGAGTCAAGTTCCTAAATTATGGAAACATGCAAATGTTACTCCCATTCACAAGGACGGTGACCGAGAGCCGGTAGAGCATTACAGAGATATCTCACTATTAACCATCACAGGAAAATGTCAAGAAAGATTGGTGTATGATGCAATTTATGAACAAGTTATTGATTTGATTCATTGTTCTCATCATGGATTCCAGAGGGGTAGATCCCGTACAACACAGCTTCGTTTGGTACATCATGAGTAAAGTAAAGCCCTAGATAACCGTGGTCAAGTTGATGTGGTATTTATTGATTTTGCTAAAGCCTTCGACCTTGTGAATCATAATATTCTTTTGACTAAATTATTTAAGTATGGAGTCCGTGGGCGTCTTCTGGAATGTTGTAAAGACCATCTCACTGACCGTAGGCAGGGATTTGTTGTAAAAGGGGAATTATCTGACTGGCTAACAATTTCCTCTGGAGTACCTCAAGGTTCCCTGTTGGGACCTTTATTCTTTATTATTTATATCAATGATCTACCAGGGGTATAGCTCTCAGTCAAGCTATTATTTTTAAACTGTTTAAAACTTTCCAATCCAATTCTTAATTGGACAGTCTTAAAAAATTAAAGTGTAATAGCTATGATGACAATTTCTGATTAACTGCCAGCTATACAATTACATCATTGATAAATATGATATTCTTATTCATTTTACTAATTTTAACCGACATTGAAATGTTCCTAAACAACCCTAAGAAATATCAAAATCCAACATATGGATTCTCATATTTCACTCAATCCTCTTTGTATGTTTGTGCTTTGGTTCTACTTTTGTTGCCGTTTGGAATGCAGCCTTCTGATTGGATTCACATCCACCGCTCAACGAGCCTGCGTTACTTGCGGTCGCCAGCTTCGCAGGCTACCAACACGCGGCGAGGGTCATTGCGAAATTCAACTTGTTTTCCAAAATAAACAGTGTAATAACCTAGTTTAGGCTCAAGACAATGCGCTTTACCCTTGTGGATCAGTGCATTCCGCACAGTACGTTTCTTCTTCTCTAGAATGCGGACGCATTTAAGTGTTGAAGCCGCCCATGATTAATGCGTTTTCGAGTTTTACCAGCTTAGTGGGACAGTGCATATGTCTTTGGTTTTCGTTCCTTCGATACCTTTAGCAGCCATTGCTTTTTCTCAAATAGCAGGGAACCCAGCATTTCCACTTATAAGGAAACTGAAATCCAAGCGTTCCAAACGTATATGGGTATCTAAAGGCTAGTAATTTATCGGGTGAGTTAGGAACTGCCACATCGACATCCTGGAAATAAAACCTTTTGAAAGGTACCACCCACGACAAGGGAGAAGTTTCCAACGTATGATGGTATTTCAGAATGAAATTGTCTTTTGATGAAGGAGGATAGTATTTGCGTAGCATTGTTTCAGTTTTGCCAGAAATGTAACTTGATACGTTCACTGGTTGCCATCTCATAAAATCCACAGTCACATCCCCAAATGCAGCAACCAAACCATTGGCTTGCATTCCAAGCTCACGCAGTTCACGGAAAGCATTCGGGCTCCCGGTTCCCAAAATATAAGAAATGTCGGCATCGTGATCATATGGCAGAATGTCCCCTGTGCGATAGGCTCCAAGCAGGGTTCCTTAATACAAAAGCAGCGAGTTTTATAAGCGAAGGAAACAAGAGAAAAACGTTTCAATTGATTTATAAATCAATGAAAGAATGATTGAGTTACTAAAAAAAAAAGAAGAGACTGACGAATAGACAGATCGACCTTGGAAATATTTAGCCCTTCACTCCCAAAAGTGACCACGACATAATATCGCCTTCCAATATCAATACAAAACCAGGCGACACAGAGTTATTTCAGCCCAAGCCGTTAGGCGAGGGAAAAACTCACTCTCAAAAGGACCCGAAACTATTGTGACTTTCCAGGACGAACCCACGCACAGACTGTGTTAAGGAGAATTTGACCCCAGGAGCTTGAACAATCGAATACATGCTGAACGGTGGCATAATTCTAGCGAGATCAAATTAAATCAACCAGAGTATTTATTGAAAAAAGCGGCGAATCAAACAGTAAAGGAAACGGGATGACGAAATAGAAGTTGTAGTTGTGAGTGTGGTTCGAACTAAAGGCAAACGATAAAAAGAAGAAAGGAAAGGCTTGTGCAAGCTGATGATACAATATGTAAATCAAGGATACTGATAAGAAAGACGATCCTATAAACAAAACAAAACGATTACAACGGAAGATGTGATCAGACTTACTTTGATCTTGCTCCTGTGGGTAGCAATTGATAGAAGGATAGCGAGAGAAAAAAAACGCGGATCGCGTAACTCTGAAGTAGAATGTGGTGGTGGCTGCTTATATCGATTATGTAACGAAATTTGATTCCTTGCAATCATGGTGCGAATAATAAAACTTAAACGTAACAAAACTGTTAATGAATAATAGCTAAGCAAACAGAAATAGAACGCGTTGCGAAAGTAACAAATATCATTATCACTTTAGGGGGGGCATCGAGAAAACAAGAAAGGAAACAAATGTGCAAAAAAGTAGTCTGACCAACCACGCGAGCGTGCGAGAGGGCCGAAGTACATTACTAAGTTAATCCTTAACACCATTCTTTTACACGATGCATCTTTTCAAAATTCTGCCTTGCCTTCCTTCTCGCAGAGTCTAACATCTTGCAGCCACGTGACAATCAAACAATAAACATAGAACTAAATGCAGAACTCACCGTAATCGAGCCAATACTGAATGCCATACTTGTCAAACACTCGTGAAATGTTCTTCACCATTATTCGTAACGTTTGACGGCTCTCGTTTGGCAAGTAACATTCCTCGTTATATCCCCCGCTCACAGATGGTAAAATTACCAGATGGAGGCACATCAGGACAAGCAGTAGTAGAATTGCTGATACTATTAGTAGCCTGTTCGCCAAATTCCTCTTTCTCCTTGATGAAAAACCACACCAAAACATTTTGAAAAACTTAGCCTCTTCAAAATGAGTGACAGCCTTTCAGTGAATGACTTAATGTAAACCTAACGACCATAAGGAAACATATGTGAGTAATCCTTATAATGAATTCGAAGACAGTTCTTTCGCTACAAATCACAACGTGGGTAAAATGACCAACTGATAGATCATCAACGCGTAGAGGTTTGATTCCTCATGAGAAATCAGTATTTTTTCATCGTCCCATTCTCGTGACGACACGGAAAAATTTCGTGATCGAATAGTTGTGTTAATGATTAACTACTACAGCACTGCTAGTACAGCGAAAAAGATCAGCACTGAAAAGGTGTGCTAACAGTGGAATGAAACATGTATTTTCAGTGTGACACACTAAATTTTAGGTCTAAATCAGATCACATTGAATGTAATTCACCTCTGCGCCGATGTTTTCCCAAGCCCTCTCGGCTAAATACGTTCATCTTTAGCGTTAACTATTAGCGTTGATCATCAATCGTTTCTGATCCAGGTAGATGAGAGACTAGACCAAACATAAGCATTTGTTTGATTGTTCGGATTGTTAAGTATTGTATTCGCCATTGCCATATGTTTTCAAACTAATGGCTCAAGGCATAATGACAAAATGATGATGTACGGAGATGGTTTGCACTTTACGTCATTGCCGCCGTGTTGGTGGACGTAAACAATAGATATCTCATTAGCTTCTTTTGTTCGTCCACCATCATTTGCTCCTTTCACCTTTGTTAACTGTGCCTCTAGAGATTGGTTGCAAACCACCTATTCTGTTCCCAATACATCGTCGGAGGAAAACGCTAAAATCATCGATAGTTCTTTGAGTAGTCTGATAACTGCGTCAGAAGGTCAATCAAAAGCTACTAAAATCCCTTAATCTGCGTAAATTCATTGGCCAACAAGTATTTATAGGGGTGTTAAGAAAAATTAAACCTTTGAAAACTAAGACCTATGACCTAAGACCAGTCTCAGTTTTCGAGATTAAAAACTAAGACCCCCCTACAATCGAATCCGTCGAAATATAAAGTCAAATTGTAACCAAAACAGATCTACCTTAGTTTCTCGGTTATAAGGCGTATGATTTTTTCAAGAAAATTCTGTCTTCGGGTGGAAAGTTAGCTGAAATTGGGGTGCGTCTTAAAGCAAAGTATTTTTGGTGATCTAAATCTTAGGATCACGATTTTAGCAGAACTTACAGTTAAATAGACAAGAAAAGGACACTAATTGTTGGTCATTGACTTTTTTAGATCTGGTGGTTCTGAAAGAACCGTTTCTTATTTTATTACACATAACACGATAATTTTATTCCATAAAGCTCATTTGTAGAAGTTGTCGAAGTATAAACAATCGAATTGCTCGAAATAATTACACGGTCGGACGCTTGCTCGTGCTCGCAAAACTTTTGCAACTGCTAGCATGCTCGTACTCTCAATTCAAAAGTGCGCGCAAAATTTGGCCTTTGCTAGAATTGCTTTATTTATGTCGTACTTAGATTAACAAAAGAAAAAACTGTTGTAAGTGCAGTTTTCCGTATAGCACTTTATTCCCTTGATATACATGTACTGCGATATTTTCCATTGCCATTAAATTTGCATCAGTAGTGAGTTTTTGTTTCTAATTTGCGTTCAGAAAATTATTTCACTGAAAATTCTCGTGTTGTGTGCAATACACAGCTCACGACGTAGAAAGTGCTTTGTACAGGGTTTTACTCACTCGTTGTGTCAAAAGCCCTCACTGGCTAGTACCTCGCTCTTTCGGGTTTTTGACACAAACAACTCGTGAATAAAACCCAGCGTCTATTGTGTTATGCTTCATTCTTCAAAGCCTCCCGACACATATAAATGAGGTGGACGGGTATTCTGAAGTTGCTCCAAACGGAAATTTGCATACGTTCTTGACAGCACGGCACGTGCTCGGTAACATGATATCATGACATCAAAACAATCGACCCTCGACTCGAGTTTGTGTCTCTCGTTCGAAAAGTTCCTTCCCTGAATAAATAGCGTGGAGATAAAACCCACACCTCTGAGTGAGACTTTCGGTGGGAGTTTACCGCCATTTGCTTTCACCGCCAGAGCAACCGTGAAACTTTCTCAGTTCCACCGCACCCTTAGTTAACTCTCAACCTATTGGTATGTCTGTCTTTTTACGGGTGTTACCAAAACCAAGACCCTCGAAAACGAAGATAAGACCTAAGACCCTCTAAACAGAAAACGGTAGAAATTACAAGTTAAACACACATTAAACAATAACAACGCTTAGTAATATAATACATTACAGATACAATGAGTATATGAAGTTCATATATTTTGAACTGCGGTATTAAATACGTATGATGCACGATTCTTCGCAGTAGATAGCGCTATTTATGCAATAGCGAAAATCAGACCTGAAAAAAATCAGGCCTGTACAGGATTCGAACCACTGACCTCT